ATGGCAAGATAAAATCGATGCTTAGAAAAACCCTAATCTCAAGACAAAAATGCATGCAATCAAATACACTTTTCGCACTTGCACCTCTAGGGATAACTCCACTTGTTGCCTTAAAAATGGTCATGTTATGCATGTGAGATATCTTAGCAAAAATAAACAAAATACAAGATCAAAGTCCCCCGATGACGCTACGAATGTTGCCTTACGAATGATCTTAGTCCCTTAAGGAAAATGCTAAGGCATCTCACAACATTGCTATGCATGAGTATACGATGATCCGCGCCCGTCCCTTTACATCCAAAGATATGGCTTCTTACCAATCAATGGTAAGATAGCAATATCAAAGGAAGAGAGAAATGAACGAAAGACTTTTGAGTAGGTAGAACGTTCCTAGTTGCTTGCTCACAATCCATCTTCAAAACAAGACATCTTTCCAAAATACACCAAACACTTTCAAAACATGAAATATTTTCAAAAAGTCCAACACTTTATATGCATTCTTATAGAGACGAGAATAATTACAAAGTTTGCCTAAACGAAGGCGTTTTTCAAAAATACTTTCAAAAACCTATCACAAACACATTTCAAACAAAGCAATTTCAAAGGTGATCTAGCAAGAAACTAAGAGCCCATAGATAACTATGGATGAAAAGGGTGTTAATACCTTCCCTTTTCATAATCTACCCTCCGAACTCAAGAAACGATCTCAAAGGTCTTTCCTATTCTTTTCAGCCTTTCCTTTTTTATAAAAGAAAATTCGGTGGCGACTCTTGCTAACTGCAACATTTACAATAAAACGCAAAACACCCAAGTCAGTTCTCCCACCGTGTCACAAATTCCATGGAATCCGTGTTTCCAAATGCAACCCATTTGTTGTGTACGTTCCATATTTCAAAAAACGTGAGGATGAAATGTAAAGAATATGTGAAATCAAAAAGACAAGAACATGTCATGAACCAATGGAACAACATCATATATTCAAATACAGAAAATGAGTTTTAAGTAAACTTCAAGCACTTTGGAAGTGTTTGTGGTGATATTTCATTATTCGTTAAGTATGTGAATGAAACATGGTTAACACCTTATAAATAAAGGCTTGTTGTTGCATGGACTAACAGATTCACTCATTTAGGGAACACAACGAAAAACAGGTACATGGATCGTGACAGTTTGATGTCATTATGATGCATGTTTATGTTTTGATAACAGTGTGAAACATGTTATTCTATTTATGGTTTTTATGGTGGAGTCTGCTCATTGGAGACTAAAAAATATGTTGACTTCAAGTCGTGGTGATTTATGTCGAAGTTGGGATGATGTGAACACCATGTTGAAGTTGCAGTTAGGTTCCATCAAAGTGTCATTTCAAAAAAGTATCATCAATATTGAACATCAGTATAACACCCCATTTTATGCTATGTTACACGGTTTTGTCTCAAGACAAGGTATATAACTCATTGGGAAGGAACTAGAAAGAGTAAAATTGGTTGGTTCAAGCTAGAAGAGGTGTGGTTGTTTCATTAGAACAATACATGGGTTACCATGTGCGTGTCATCTTGCCAGTTTCCAAATTTTAGGCTCCCTTATTTCTTTGGAATCAATTCATGTATTCTGGACGAAATTGCACATTATAGAACATGAGGTAAGTCATGATGAAAGTGAGTAGAATTTAGAAGAAGAGCGTGAAGAGTTGAGGAGATATTTCAATACTTTAGATATTGTGGGTCAGAGGAGTTTTAAGAAAAAAGTTTGTGATCTAACATATCCATCCACAACTTCAATGTGTCCACCGACGGTGAAGTACAAGCCAAAGAGGGAAAACAAGAAGAGTAATACGGGTGAGAAGAGTGATGTGCATCATGATCATAGCTAGTGGGAATATGATGTGGCTTCGTAGAGGAGTCAGGCTATAAAAAGATTATGCATAAAATCAATTGGAAGTCAATCGTCAACCATGCCAATTGGTAGGCATCTTCAAGAGCCGAGTTCTTGTCACAGTTTCCTACTTTCTTTCATCCATACATCAATGACATTATTGATGTTGAGAATGATGAAAGTTGTGACTTCCGTTGTATTTCATCTTTATTAGGGTGGGAGGAAGATTCATGGCCTTTGGTTCAGAAGCAGTTAGATTCTCAAGTCCATCAACATGCTCAGTTGTTTTTCAAGTTATTCTATGACATTGTCTCTTCATTTAGGAATGTGTTACAAGTAGAACACTTGGGTGTGAGTGTAGGGAAAAATAGATGTCGATTCCTGACATGGGTTACATTATTGCGTCTAGATACAATGTTGTACTTGTTTCCATTTTCAGAAATTTCAACATCATATTTTTCCACTAATCAATGCTCCACCCATGTACACAAGTAGGCATACAATAATTGCTATTGGTTTTGTCAACAAGAATCATTGGGTTCAAGTAAAATTGAAAACTGATTGCCTATTGCCTCACGTCACTGTCCGTTGAAGACATAATTGTACTAATGATGCAAAAGCATAGGAATCAGCATATACGGGACGCTTCACACATTGGGAAGATTTGTGTAGGAATTGATTGTAGTTGTCTAGTTATTTTACCTTTTTATTTTGTCCGAGAAAAGTTATAAAAAATGGGGGGGGGGGGGGGGGGGGGGGAAGTAACATTTATAAAAATAGAAAATGAGAGACCCAAAGTAATGAGAAAATGACTTGTAACTGTGAAGCTATAAGGTATCATACCCTGAAGATTACAAAATAACAAAAAAGTAAAAGTGACAAAGATGCAAGGGAAAAACTGTTGTTTCACATTTCCGGAAAGACCACCTATTTGTTCGTTTACCAGGTTCGGCACGAAATCATAAATAAGCTCTACCAAGGATTGCCAAGCATTGGGTACTGACTTTCCTCCTCCCAGTACTACCGAAATTTTCAAATTTCTGATTTTTTTTTTGTGGCTACCAAAAATTTCATATTTCCGGTACTTTCTAGTATATGTACTTCCAGAAATTTTAAATTTCAGGTAACAAGCACAAGTCACAGTAAATTATTTTTAATAAGTGAAATTTCCAGTATCATGGTGAGAGACCCAAAGTAATGAGAAAATGACTTGTAACTGTGAAGCTATAAGGTATCATACCCTGAAGATTACAAAATAACAAAAAAGTAAAAGTGACAAAGATGCAAGGGAAAAACTGTTGTTTCACATTTCCGGAAAGACCACCTATTTGTTCGTTTACCAGGTTCGGCACGAAATCATAAATAAGCTCTACCAAGGATTGCCAAGCATTGGGTACTGACTTTCCTCCTCCCAGTACTACCGAAATTTTCAAATTTCTGATTTTTTTTTTGTGGCTACCAAAAATTTCATATTTCCGGTACTTTCTAGTATATGTACTTCCAGAAATTTTAAATTTCAGGTAACAAGCACAAGTCACAGTAAATTATTTTTAATAAGTGAAATTTCCAGTATCATGGTGAAATTTCTGATTAGACATCATAAATTTATAAATTTCCGATATATAATAGAATCAATAACGTAAATGTGACAAAAATAATGGATGTCAGGTATAAGTTAAAACCTCTAAACATAGGTCGTCAATCTATCTTATTACTTTTATTTGTATTTCAACGTGTGTCATTCTCTTTCTATCCTCTTAATTGTGCAGCATGTATGTCATTCTCTTTCTTTCCTTTTATTGTGTAGTATGCAGGGGTGGCAAACGGACATATCCTCCCCGTTTAAGTCTGTCTTATAAGAGTCCGTAAAAAAGCGAAATAGAACAAACATAATTTAAGATGCGGACCTAAAACCTATTCCCACCTTACAAAAACGTGAGGGTGGGACGGGAAAAACCCGCAGACACTAGACTTTTTTAACCTAAAAATACAAAAAATTATGCAAATGCATGTGCCCGCAAAAGCCCGCGTAGAAAACGGGACGGGACATGCACATTAGAAGGTGAAGGTCTAAATTTTTGGTCCACTCTGCACTAAAATGCAAACAAAACAGATATGTCCAACAGACCAGATCCATTTTTTCACCCTTGACAATATGTTGGGCTTTTCGTGGTATGGTTAGTAAAAAAACAGAACCGAACTAAACTATAATAAAAGATATTTGTACTTAACCAAACCGTTTCAATTTAATCAAAACCGAACCATAATCATTGGTTTAATATATTGTTTTAAAATTATGAACTGTACGAATCGTTATAGGTTAATTTTTCTCAAATCAAATCATTTATTAAAAAACCAAACCCTAAAACTACTTCTAAATTATTTTTTTTAAAATTAAAACTTATTTTTAGTATTTTTCATTTTCAATTTCGGTTCAAATACAGTTTCAGTTTGGTACAATTTCAATTTATAGTTTTAGAACTGATTGTGCAATACACTTTAGTTCACTAACTAACATAAGGATTTGGTTATTTTAACTTCATTTCATCGTTTTTTTTAACAACCCTGGCAGTATGTACTATATATTTAGCGAGAGAAGAAATAGTTAGAAAAATAGACCAGATTTTAAAGTTTGGTTCATAGATTTGCCAGCTAGAGAAACTGTATATTTTTAACAAAGGTCTATGCAATCAAAAGATTTATTTTTTACATTTCATATTAAGAATGTTGCAATCTGATTTTTCCATCTGCTAAATTAAATAGACATTATAGCCCCTCTAACATTCATATTATGCACTAACACAGAAGCGATTAATGGCTACTATCAGAAATTTGATATTAAAATATCTATCAAATTTTTATAGGAAAGAGAAAAATACATATGGTATTGGTTTTACAACACATGCTCTTACCTCTGCAACAAAAAATCTGCATCACAAAATCTGGTACAAATGTATGCAGTTCTTTACATGTTTGGAAAATTGACAGTACTCTTTCCAATGTTTTCAAGTTCAATTTTCAGAAGCAATCTCTTTGCTACTTATCATAAGAGTGCTGCCGCATATCCAACTGCAATCCAAACAAGAACCCTTAACCCTTTACAGAACATTGGTGCGATCAGGCCATTAGAGAGCTGCCGAAACAAGAAATGTTCGAATTCTTTGCAATAGCTCAGCTTTTACAGAATCAGGAACTGAGGCTGCAAAGAGAAGTTCTTGTCTCGTCAGGTAGAAATTTTGGTGCGCAATAATAATTAAAGGGACAATACAGTTATACAGATTCAAATCTTGAAAGACATAATACTCAATTATGTAAGTGCTTCTTAAAATGTTTAACAATAGATTCATCAACAAATAAAATGGAGAATTCCGTGCATGGTTCTTTTGTAAATGAGTCGCTTGAACGCGGTTACCATCAGGTAAACAATATGCAGAAAGAAGTATATCAGTGAAGCAATTAATAATACCTCGGCCCTTTGGAGTAATTACGTGTATAAGTTCATCTAGAGTAACATTATTCCTTCCTTTCTTCTTCACAAAAGCCCTGTGGATAAAAAAATAGATTCCAACTTTTAGAAGTCACACAAGATAGAGATGTGTCGAAATATTAAGAGGAAAAGGTGGAATCAAACAGAGAAACACAACAATAGGGGATGATACTAGCCGCACCCACTTAAATACACTCTTTACAATTGATTCAATTCATGACAATCGATAAATTTTAAAAAAATTGTGATTAATTTACAAGACAGTCAAATTGACATTTAAAGAAAGGGTCAAAGCAATGTAAAAACAAGTATATTACAAACATTTCATAGACAACTTTATTTCTAGGAATTCATTTCAAGTATTCAAGGTCATATTGTAATATTGCTAAGTGGAAACTAAAGCTCATGCCACTGAACCTGGAACTACATCCGCAAAAACAGACACTAAGCCAAAAGTACTTCACTAATCAGTAATCCTCCATCCAAACAACACGTTTAACTAAAAAAATAAATACGGCATTATATTATTTGGCTCTATGTGTTCAATACTAGATGGCGTAGGGTAGGGGGTAGCGGTCGGTAGCAGTAACACCGATACATGAAGTCTAGGGGAGAAGAACAGATCTGGTCGGGCAGAGAGCAGGAGAGAGAAAGCCCCGATGGAGTCGGGACAAACCGCACCAGTCACAGGGCAACAGAAGTCGCGTGGAGGAGAGATCGTGAAAGAAAAGAGACCTCACGGAAATAAAAACCCTAAACCCTTCAAAAAGACTAAATTATCAGAGAAAACAACCCTAATCGGCTAAAAAACAAGGACATTTTTGTCTTTTCATGATGGAAATAAGAGCATTTCTTGTTTTTCGGCTTGTCTTCTCTGTTTGGTTCATCTTCTCCGCGATTCTGCCATCGCATACAGTTCTAGGACAGCACCTTAGATTCTCTCCGGCACACATTTTCCATAGCACTGAAACTCTAATATCTCATGCACCTCGAGCCAGTTCAGTACAATGCAAAAAATTACTTAGAACATAATATAAAGATCATACACTTAGTTTCATTTGTAAAGGGAAAAGATCAGTTAAGTTATTTGATATGAGTAAAGTTATTTGATATGGGAAAAGATCATTATACATTAACGTGAAAAAACGTCCTGACGCCTTGACTAGGATTCACTATTTTGCCACATCGCCCCACTTTTGTAAGTCCATTTTCAGACAAAGTTGTCAACGGACCGCTATAAAGCACAGCAGAATTTGAGGAAACCGCTATTTCTCAGCGATGCACAATTCAATACAAAATGCCAATTAGCCACACTGTAATTTAAACAAACCATTATTTTCCTTGATCAGTGATTGAAAATCCTGTTCGAAAACAGATATACAACATGAAAAACTGAAGGTCTTGCATTCCATACAAGTCTAAAGTTGATAATGCATGTTAATGTCATTGTGCATTATAAACCTTTGAACTTATAAATATAACAAATAAACCTAAAACCCCAAAATCATTTTCTAGCAAAAACCCTAATACAACAAAAACAAACAAACCTGCATATAGATTTCATTTCATCTTTCCAACCACAATCCACAAGTCTTTCCCTCAAAAGCTCCATCAACCGCTCCTTCTCTCCAGTCTCAATAAACTAACAACCAAACCAAACCCAACATCAAAATTCAACTAAAAAAATCAACTTTACCATTCAAATCATCATAATACTACTCTAACAACAAAACCCTGGAAACAGAAAGAGAAAAAAAACCTTGATATTGATGAGTTCCTGAAACGTTGGTTCCCTTTCTGGGAAATTATCGGAAACATCTGGTGTTGGAGGTCGATTCACCGATGATTTTGGCTTCCTTGATGTTTACCCCCAAAAAAAATAATCAAACAAATGAGAAAAATCGATTAGGTGAAACAAAGATATCAAAATGAATGAAGTTTTTTGATATTGTTTTGATTTGGGATGGTGAGTGCTCACATTTTAGGAATTTTTGTCGAAGTTGTAAAGATTGAAAAGGGATTTAGCTACGAGTGCAACGGGGTTGAACGGTGCGGGAGAAGCCAAATTTACTGTCGACTGTTCGTTTAATATATACCTGTTAAAAGGCCCGTGCGCGTTCGTAGGATATTTTTATGGACAGCGGAATTGTCAATTTGTTACTAATTTATTATAGAAATTTAAATAAATTAAAAACTATAGTTGAAATAAAGGGAGAGAAAAAAACTATAGCTTGTTATATGAATTATTTTTCATTATCAATGTATATTATTATAATCTCAGCAGTTATTTATATAGACAAACAATGTTCAGACCCAATTACATAAAATACTAAAATCTAAAACATGATTTCGATAGACTGTTATATCTGTTGTATTTGACTCTGTCGAATAGAGCTTACAACTTATACAAAAGCTATTCGACATACACTAAACTAGTATTTTGACTGAATAAAAATTATACATCTAACACACCCCCTTAATTCATGTTCTCGAGACTTCTCATCCTAATGTTTTTCTTTAACTCGTCGAATATGACAATATTTTATCTCAAATTTTCCTTTGTTGACTTGATCCCTCAGAAAATGATACATTCTTTCTATGTGCTTACTTCGACCATGGCACACTGTTTACCGTGAAAATTAGTAAACAACCGTTGATCTTCCAAAAGAGTTATTTTGGTTATTTGCAGGATCGATCAGTTTGATCGTAGGACATATGCTAAGTATTTTTGGGTTTGAGTAGGTTTAGATGAAATGGTTCGACAAGACATTAAGAGTAAAGGCAGGATGAAGGTAAAAAAAATTGATAAAAACGTAAGTAAAGTAAATTTGCAGTAATTTAAAAGGGTGTAATGGTAAAGTTTGCAGATAAATGTTAAATGGCGAGAATTGTAAAGAAATGTAAAAGACTTTAATTGTAATAAAGTATGGTGATTCAAACGTACATTCTCAATATTCTTTCTCTCACAGCGGGTACTTGAATAAAATTGAGTGACTGTACAATAAGTTGAACACATTAAATTCTACATAAATTTCCTATATTTATACTGGTAATAAGTAACTTTCGAATGGTTGCTTCGTCCCAGAATGAGGACAAGTGTCCTCTGCATGTTCTTCGACCTCTAAGGATTCCCTCACTGGACGCGCAGCTCACCATGCACCCTCAAAGGATTCCTTCACTAGATCCAACTGCAGACTTGGGCTCCTCTCACTTTGGGCCTACATTTTTAAAATTATACCCCCTGTTTACTAATCAGCCTGACCCATTTATTTGTTTTTTATTTATTTCTTTTAGTTTATTAATTCCAAGCTTTTTTCTATTATTTAATTATAAAATCACAAAAATATTAGGTTAGCATTTTCTCAAATAAATTAATTTTGTAAATTAATTGATTAATTATTTTAACCGTTTTTTTTAATTTAAAACTAAATAGACTTGGAATTTTAAATTAAATTTCTTTCCATGATCAAAAACAAATAAAAAGATTTTTCTTTTTAAGTTTTAAACGTTATTTTCATTTCGCGCGCGTTATTTCCTTTCACACTTTTTTTCATATTATTATATCTGCTTCCTGGTTGTAATAGTTTAAAGTAGACTTTTACATTTACTGCTTTATTTTCTTCCTAGTTTTGGACATGTGATTAATCCTCTTCCCCGAAGCCTTGTAATATTAAGGATTTTACATTTCCGCACTTTTAATTTCTGTAAATTATTAACTGTTAGATGTATGCCTAATATGATTGTATGGCAAGAATAACAAACAAACGCTAGCAAACTTAACACAAGACAAAAATAACTGAATACAACACACTCTCACATATACACCTCTAGGGTATCCCACTTTGGTTGCCTTCGGAAAATAATCACAACTCTCGAAACGTGAGAGATTTTAATGGCTACCCTCCGGTTTAAAGATCATAAATCCCTCGATGACCCTTTCGACGTTGCCCCGGTAAAAATGATCTTAAAACCCTAGGGTAGTTACTAAAGTTTCTTGCCCAGTTGCCTTTATGACTGTATAAATGTCCCTTCAAATGTCCCTCAAACATCCAATGGCTAGGGCTACCTACTCACAAATAGTAGGATATCACTGTCTAAAGGAAAAGAGGAAAAGAACAATCCTTTCGAGTAAAGTAGATAGTTCTTAGATGTTATGTTCAAAAAAATTTATAATTACACAAAACCTCTTTCAAAATCATTTTCAAACACTTTGTATACGTTCTCTACTATTCAAAGAAACATTACAAAGTTCGTCGTACTAAGGCGCTTTCAAAAATGCTTTTCAAAAACATACAAAGCACAATTTTTTCAAAAGAGCTAAGCATCTAAGAGCCCGTAGAAAGCTACAAATAGAAAGGATGCTAACACTTTCCCTTTCCATAATCTACCCCCCTTACTCATAAAACTTTCGAAAGGTCTTTTTCTATTCTTTTCACCCTTTCCTTTGTTGGATAAAAGAAAAGTTGGTGGTGACTCTTGCTTACCGTAACATTTGCAAATACAAATGCAAAACCAGTATAATAGTCGGTTCTACCACCGCATCACAAAACTGGTGACTCTGCTGGGGACATAATAAAGTGGGGTTACCTTAGAGTTTATTTCATTTTTAAATTGCTTTACATTGTGTGTTTTGTATGCTTTACTTTTGAGGGCTTGTTTGGTTTGTTACTAAAAGATCCTACACCCGGATCTGGGGAAACTTTTAGGTAAGAAGCAATAGATCATGGAGATTGTATAGTATAGACCGATATGGTTGAAGCGATGGTTGCGTTAGTGTGACATATTTATTGGTCTCAATATCCCTTGTGTTAAATCGAGCAGAATATAGGGCCGATGTGTGGTGTCATAAAGCACTAACGGACCTTAGAACCTTAATTAGACAAACTTGGCCATTAGAAAGTAGTGAGATAGCCGGCCTCGGTATAAAGCTGAGGATTGGTTGATACTCGATACTATACTCATTGAGATCGGACTTTCGGGATATTTAGGCCGCGAGAAAAGATCGCTTGAGCTGAAACAATGCATGATAAAGAAAGATCAGTGATATTGAGACTTCTTAGAACCCAGTTACTATTACTAGGACAGATTGAGCCAACTGAAACTTCAAGAGGGTACTTACTTATCAACTCCATGCAAGCCTGAACCTAAGGCTATTTGTGTGACTTGCTTGCTTTCATTATCTAACAACTTGAAATCCTTGCAGGGTCTTGTTTGTTTTCATTACCTAACAACGTGAGTTCCTTGCAGGACCTATTTGTATCCATTATCTAATAACCTAGATTTCTTGCAAGATTTACTTGTTTACGCCACCTTACACTTTTCTTGGTGCATAGCATGCACATCATGACGTCGTGCCATAGCATTTTGTTAACCATTTCAAGGATCTCAAAGGGCCTGTGATGCAGGTTATGATGAACCAAATGTCTAGCAAGGGGCAAAGGGATTTATTTTCCTCTAGCCAATGCCGTCAAAGCATGATAACTTAAGTCAGAGGCTATGACCCACGCGACATGGTGAGCTTGATTCTTGTAGAAGGACATTCAACGATACGAAGTTATTCCATCAAAGTTGCAGTCAAAATTCAATTCCTGACATTTTCTTGTGTTTACCTTGCGAGATCCTTGAAAACATTGCATCCACACATCATGCATCATATCATGATGGGTTTCCTCCATGCAGGTTTTCTCATCTGCTTGCTATTTATTTCAGTAGAAATGGCTCTCGAGCAGACTGTCCAAGATCTTCAAACTCAAGATGCTCAATTCAAGGAGATGTTCCTGAATCTATCCAAGGGGCAATAAGAATTGAAAGCACTCCTCATCGGGAACTTGACCAAGAAAAATCCTGACAATAACAAGGATGACCAGTTGGAACAACTGCAAGCTCATATGGAAACAATGAGAATCTAGATGTTGGGACAGATGGCTCTTATCCAAAACTTAACTCGGGGACAAGAAGAGATAAGAGTCCTTGTCAACAAGCTTCATCAAGATAGATGCAATCATATGGAGCAAACAAATAGAATTGGGGATCGAGTCTTTAATGAGCCTTAGTTGAAACAAGAAGATTTGATTGAGAAAACACCTTTCAAAATGGATGTTACGCCAAGAGTCCAACAACGACTTCACCAACCACGATAGGGTGGTCCGTATAAGCAAGATACACCCAAAAGACACTTCACCAAAATCAACATGTCCTTGGCTCAAGTATTGCAACACATGTTGAAGATGGAGTTGATTACATTGAGGGATCCTCCTCGAAATCCCAATACCTCCGCTCCTAACTATCATCCTGATGTAATGTGTGCATACCATTCCAATAGTCCTGGACATGATACGAATGACTATTGGGCATTGAAAAATAAGATTCAGGACTTGATCGACAAAGGGGTGCTAGATTTCACACAAGATGGTCAGACTGAATTCTTCTGCATCCCTCAAAGACACACCATCAGAAGTGACAAGTTCAGACAGAGAGGCTTTCTTGTTCATTAGAATTTTCAAATTATATTTTCTTTTGATTGTTCGAACACTTATTTATGTCAAACTTTGTTATTCCATTAATGTATTGCATATGTTTGTCTTGAATAAATCCATTCATTTTCACTATACTGAAACTATTTTTTACTTACCTTTTATGATATTCAACCCTCGTTAAAAGTTGTAAGCCTTTAGAGGGAGGATGACGAAAAAGACACCACAATCTATACAGTATGCTTTTGAACAGACCTTGCTGACGATGTACATGTGTTGTTTCAAATCCTAAACAGTGGAGTTATAAGGAAGATAATCCCTAGTCAATCCATTTGAGCCTAAGAAGTAGGAGTTTTCTTTTTCACACAAATTGAAACCTTTAATCATAACCTGGGACAAGGTAGTTTCTCAGTTAATTCAATAGTGCATTCAATCGCAAGCTTTCTCATTGTACACAACAAGTAGTGTCAGAGGTATCATTCAAAGACAAAAGATGGTGATGGTTCCGCATAATCATTAAAACATGCAGTCATTATCTCTCAAAAGAACATCATTACCCAATGCACTTCATGCATCATGATATTGTATACAACTAATTCTTTACCTTTTCAGGAAAGATCAATAGATGAATATCATCAACAATTTTCAAAAGTTCCAGATTAATTCCTGAAACCAGACAGGGCAACTATCTGTGAACGACTGATTGTAGATCAATTCTCAAAACAAGACGAAATGACTATCTACAATACCAGGTTAGAAAGTAATTCCTGAAACTAGATAGGGCAACTATCTCAATAACCAACAAAAGAAAGTTCCAAATTAATTCCTGAAACCAGACAGGGCAACTATCTGTGAACGATTGATTGTAGATCAATTCCCAAAACAAGACGAGGCGACTATCTACAAGACCAAGTTAGAGAGTAATTCCTAAAACCAGACAGGGCAACTATCTCAACGACCAACAAAAGCAAGTTCTAGATTACTTTCTGAAACAAGACAGGGAAACTATTTGTGAACAACTGATTGTCGATCAATTCCCGAAACAAGATGGGGTGACTATCTACAAGACCAGGTTAGAGAGTAATTCCTGAAACCAGACAGAGCAACTATCTCAATAAACAACAAAAGCAAGTTCCAGATTAAT